CCATAAAATTTTCCTGCAAAGACATTTAACATTTCTTAAATATTTTGGCAGTGGTGCAGCCACAAAATAAGTGTCCCGCATGCACGTTAGCCAATGTGAAAGCACCAACACTAGGCCTAGCCGGCGAGAAAAGCTGGAACTCAGTGGCATGGACGGTTTCATTTTGCCTTAAAACCGTGTCATGTTTATGCAACAAATAATGAACCAAGTATGTCTCTGAAATATGCACATCTTACCCATATAGCCAGTCCAAATTCCCTTGCGATGTTGTTATTATGCGTCATATTGATAATAAATAATGAAATTCCAATGTAGATGCAATAACATTATTTGTCAATCATTTACAAACTAATGCAGTATATATTATTCTGTGTCTCACGTTTTTCGCATAGACGAATACACGAACGTACAAAGCACAAGCGATACTCCATAACACACACATGAGACACAGGTCTCAGACTCAGCTTGTGTCCATTTCCAAATTTTGCAAAATCGTTCAAGTGTATCTCCTGAACGACAATTGCCAAAAATAGGAAAGAAAACATGGCTTCATTCTTCCCTGGACTTTGCAAAAAATCAAATAATAAAATACAAAATTCAATACAAAATATCAACAGGAAATGCTAAAAAATGTTATACACAAACTATAAAAAAATTGTTGATTGGTCTTTAATGAATTTATATGGCAGGCCTAGAAAGGCAAGCAGCCTGGGTAATAATTTATTAAGTAGAAAGGAAAGACCGTTCTTAAATTAAAAGTTTACTCACCATCTTAAATTTATCTCAATGAAGACTTGAGAATGTTCTCCAATTTTAATCGAATGTTTGGTTTTCCAGACCGATGATTTCCACGCTTGTATTCACCTGTCAAGGCAACGCGTATGCATTTCCTGTTCGATGTAAGGAAATTTCCTTAAACTGAGGAATTTTGCACCTCCATGGAATTTCTGATGAATTTATACAATATTTTACCCAATATTTTAAAATGTTGGAATAGTACTAAAACATGCAGACAAATTGGCTGTTATTAATGCAAAAATACTTGTCAAAACACAGAAAATACATTCAGAACTGCAAACATTTTAATGAAGATTGTCCTGGACCAACAATGCAAAATTCCTTTCAACGACGAAGTTCAAATCGGGGAACGAGATTGCAATTTTATGAGACAAAAGTTCAGAGAACCTAACCTTATTAATTTCCAATATCATAACATCAAGGGCATATTTGATTACCAAAAACAGGCCCAAAAAGTTCCAAAACAAGCAGGCCACTCCAGCAAGGCCAAGTCCAAGGAATTTTCTTGAAAACGAGGACATTTTCATCAATAATCTAAGGAATTCTTGGAAATAGGATGTTGAGAGCACAGGCACTGTGGCATAGAGACTGTGGCAGGGATTCCTGGGAACGAATATCGAATATTCTCATTTCTCAAGTACTTCAGAGTGTCGTTTTAGTTGAATTTTTATACAATCTTGCCTTCATTTATCCATGATTTTGTTGCTGGAACATCTGGATGTCTTTAGAAGAGCCATCGTCGAACAGGTAAGCATTAATTTGAGGACAAGTCGCCTTTTATCTTGCCTTTTTGGACACATATTTTTCGAAATAAAGACCACGTGCTGCTTTATATATCCAGCAAAGCTTTTATGTGTATGAATGTTGTATCAGAAGATAGCGGATGCCTCGCTAAGTAAAGCAATTTTGCCAGGTTTCGACAGATCGTGTATAATAATAAAGGTCATCAACTTCTGTTGTAATATAATAATCAAGCCAAATCATGCTCAAGAAGGCAGTATAAACTGTTCTCCCTAGAGGTCAAGTAGGTTGTAGTCAAGTTGGGCTAGTGTTCCAAAGGTCGTAGGTCGATTCCCACTGTGGCCAGGCATATTGCTTGCCCTGTGGGGAAACGACAAAACGCGGACCCCAGGTCTGTGGACTACCTTCGTGGACCACTCTCGTGGACCACTCTCGTGGACCACTTGCGAGACACCAGATTTTTGGGGTTTGAATTCTTGACTGTGCATGCAAAAATGTGCTCGAGTCGAGTTTAGTCATTATTATCATTGTGGAAACTTTACACAAAATGTGAAGTTCTAAATCCATTCACTGTAGCCCATGGACCAGGTCCACAAAGGTAGTCCATGGACCTGGGGTCCGCGTTTTGTCGTTTCCCTGCCCTGTGTGGATATACACTCAGAGTAACATCAAAAACATCATATTTACCTTAGTACATAACACCAACACAGAAGAAATCAGTATAAATGCCATTCCACAGAGAAATTTGCGGTATATTTCATTATCGACCGTTTCTGTATATCAAAATTGTGTCAAGCCCGCCGCACACGAGAGCAACTTGCTGAGCTAACCGCCTCGCGAGGGATAGTTTTCGTGAGGATTTGACCTCTCAAGGCCTTGAGGAAAATATCTATCGTGTTTGATATTTTTCACCTCGCGAGGAAAAAGTCTCAGCGTCTGCAGATATTGTGAGCTAAGTGCTGAGCTGTTTGAATCAATTAGCCAATGACAAACCATAGTTTCTTTGTGTGACATGGAACAAAATGGAGGAAAATGCAAATAATTTTGTTAATTATGTTGTTGAGTAGTTTTCCCAACGTGTGCAGTGAAAGTACATAGTTGAGCTAGCTGCCACTCGAGGCGGTTAGCTCAGCAAGTTGCTCTTGTGTGCGGCGGGCTTCAGCCTTTTGGAATGCGTATTAATAGAATAATAGAATTGAGAATATAAATTCTATATTCAATATTAATCTATATAGAATAGACTATTGGCTTTCTACAGCTATCTAATTTTATGCAATAAATTTGAACTGCTACAGATTTGCCATAATATGAACTGGGCTGTGAGCGAATGTGGTGGTAGCCTCACAATGTTTCATGTTGGTGAGAGAGTAAGAATTTAGTTCAGCGAGAAGTTGGATCAGATTTCACTCTGTAAGTGCAGCCGTGAATCCTGTGTTGAAAGCTATGGCAGTAGCTTCGCACACCCCATAAGAATTTTTGACCGAGGGGTCAGAAGCAGCTGAAATCTTGTACACTCGACTCACAAATCAACAGAAATCAAACCGAAATCAAGACATAACAAGATTCTGATTCAGAAATCACTCAAAACTTCGTTATTGTTGAGGCCACAGTCCATATGATAGCGGTCACCCACAGAAATCTGGTTAGAAATCAGGAAATAAGGTTATAGAAATCAAGAAATCGCTAAATCAACAGAAATCAGTTTTGAAATCAACAGAAATCAGGTTAGAAATCATTTGATTTTGAAATCCTGTATGCTTCATGTGGCCTTGTCGGACCCCTTGAGCATTTTTTACTTTTTCAAAAATAGACCTCTTAAAAGTTGCGAAAATCAATGCTAAAGTTATTGAATTATGTAAATGAACATCATTTTTTATTGCATATAAAACCACCGACAAGGGTGATGATTTCCTTTGTCTTTTCATCATGAATTTATTTTAATGAGTTTTTTTTTATGATATTAAAATCATTGTAATTACAGTTTTATTGAAAAGAGTGAACCATCAATGGATTATTGGATTATACTGTTAAGCTTACTGATCATTACCCTGAGAGCAGAGGCTGATTTCCCCTCACGCAGAAAATAAGGCTCTGCTGTTTTTGTGTTTAATTTCTGTCGAGCATGCTTTATTTCCAATATTATGTCAAAACGTGTCAAAGATCACTTATATTTTTAGAATTAGAATGACTGCTAAATTTAGAGAACCAATCGCATACAGTTATCACTACATGCTGGGCGTGTGCAACTGCACGTGCTGTACAATTACGGCAATATAAATAATACAAAAACATTTACAAATCAATAGCTTTTTTACTTGTCAGTTGTGAAATCAAACTATTACATTACTATATTTTTACAATTGCTAACTTGCTAGTTTATCTTATCCTACGTTACTTTTCAGTATATTTAAGTTATTGTCAGCCAAATTTCGGTTATAAAGTATAACGTTTTAATTTTTGAAAATCGGGGTCTGAAATTTAAATATTTTCTCAGCATCCAACTGGGATACCAGGATTCAAAGTTTACTGTAGTATCCCCCCTGAGAATGCAATATCCTACTTCTGGATACTGGTTACCATAAGTATTCTCCCCTATACCATCCAATATACAAATAATGAATGTTTATGAGTGCAATGGTAAGAATATTTTCATGAGGTGAAAGATGGAATGTTCCATTCAACGAGGCGACAGCCGAGTTGAATGGAACATTCCATCTTTCACCGAATGAAAATATTCTTACCATTGCACGAAGAAACATTCATTATTTGTTTTATATAACCAAAAGTCCAGAACAGACTAATAGATTCGTATGAGAAGCATTTTGAGGGATGCGATTTATCGAAAACACAAAGAGTGCAATTGTACTATACGTTTTATTCCATTGCACTCGCGGAGAGTGCAATGGAACGCGTTCCATTGCACTCTTGGGAAATGGAATTTTCTATTCAATATCACGTGACTATAAACAGCCAATTAAACGATTAGAATTTAATAAGGTATTATATAATAAGTAATAACTCTTGCTGTTACAAATTACAGTAACAATAGGAGATTCAATGGTCAGTCAAGTTGTCAACAACTAGACAATTCATTAATCCACAAAAATGCACATTATATGAGGAAATGCTTGGGTGGCAAACTCATAGACAGTAGTATTCAAAAGCTATCAGCCAGGAGACTGTCAGAGGTGCTTAACATTTTCCTAATGTTTGAAATTTTCTTTGTATCCAGTTGGGATATAAGTCATTCACAGTTTGGTATCCAAAACCAAATTTTATCCCGTGGATATCGGGATACTGCAAATTTCAGACCCTGTATTAATACACAATATAAAGTATAACGTTTTAAATTTTTGTAAATATATAGCGGGCTCAAATTGTATTCATCGGTTTACATGCAAAACGAAGGCATCTGCATTTAAAACCGGTTAGAACTGGTTTATTACCGGTTTACTTCGTGCAGAATTTTGGACGAACAAAAACGGCAGAGCCTTATTTTCTATGCGAGCGGAAATCGGGCTCTGCTGTCAGGATAACTAATCATGTGTTTTTGAATTTTTTTCTGTGTATATACTGTAGTTATTCAAATTCAATTAGAGCAAATATTTTCTACTTAACTTGAAAGAATTAGCTTCCCACCATGGTCAGGCAAACTTTTCAGCCTGCCCGATGTGGATGCACACTCAGAGTGGATGTACCGGTACACTCAGAGTAACACCATAAACATGATACAGTATTCACCTAAGTTCATAACACCAACACACACAAAAAGTATCATATTTTAGTGTACATTGATATCGAAGGAACTAGTCTCAGTTCCAAAATATCACCAATTCAGACCGACTTGACCTCGTACTGTAGCTCAGTCGGTAGAGCATTGGACTAGTATCCCAAAGGTTGCGGGATCAATTCACACCGTGGTCAGGCAAACTTTTCAAGTAATATTATTGTTATCCAATTTGGAAGAACAAACACATGTCATTAAGGACCGGTAGCTGGTCAAAATGATCAGATATTTGCCAACAAAATTTATATCAACAAGACTTAGCAATAAACAGTAAAATGCTTTCTTCTTTTCATCTCCTCTACGTCAGAGTATTGAAATCGAAAAAAGACAATATTCAATGATTCTAAACTAATCAGGCTTAGTTTTAATAAGTACCTTTTTTGCCCATTCTATAGAACGTTTTGTAATCTTCAAAACTCTGCAAAATTGCCTCCCAAAATGCAGGAGAAATTTCAATGTGTTTAAATTTCAGGCGGGAGGGCTTGAGGTATTCGATTACCTTATTAACTCTTTACTTTAAGTGGCAATGCGCCCTACTTTATTATTTTACTGTGTCTTGCACCAGATGATTTTACTTGTCTGGGGGAGAGTTCTGCCACTCAATTGGTTAAACCTGTGCCCTCCCAGATACTATCACTTTTTGGCCACCTGTTTCTAAATTTAGTAATTTACACAGTGTAGAGTGTGTTTATACTGTAGCTTGTATACATCATAGTGTGCATTTGACGTGCGGAGTATACCATGCAGGGTGCGATAAATCAAGATTATATGTGTTCCTGGCTGGTACTCCAATGCTTATTGCTGCATACTTGAGATGGTACAAACTTAAGAGTCAAGGTGTACCTAGTCTTATTTCTTAAAATGTAATATACATACATATTTCATTCCGTAACCTAAAACTACGAGTTAGAACAAGAAGCACATTTGCAAACACTACAATGGTCTCCAGCATTCCTTGGTCCCGCCATTCCAATTTTGTTTATG